AAAGTAACAGGAATTTGTAAGTTATACATTTAAGCATAATCAAATATTTTTTTTCTCATATTGTTAACACTGTTGTTGTCTTCCACACCAGCTTTAGGAACAATCTGTTAGATAATTTAGTGCTTTTACGATTAGTTTTGTTATGTCATTTAATAATTACAATCCTTAATATAAGATATATATGACTTATATAAGATACATATGACATAACATAAGCAACTATTACATATTTATAGAAAGGGTTGATATCTATTAACTGCAAATATTAAAAATCCTTGCAATTTGGAATAGACATAAGCTAATATTTATTACTAGGTTCGGTTAGGTTATACCGGTGATCCTTAGTGGATCCACTTAGGCCTATTGGCCAATTGTGATGCCGTATATATATGGTGAAAACCTCAGGGTTTAAAACCACCTAGAACCTTTTGCAAAACATAAAATGCTATTTAAAGTCAGATCCTGTAACTGGTCCAGGTCCTCAAGGAAGGGGGCTCCTAAAGTACCAAGTCGCCGAAGTACATTTATTATTAACAATGAAATAATTATTTTTCAAACAATAAAGATTATTTAAAAATAACTAACTACCATCATAATAAATGGTTCTTACGGTATTTAACTTCTTCCCGCTATATATTTATTTAGTCCAATGTTACATTTTGTTGCTATATATTATATCGCTTTTTCGTGTCTCTTGCTTATACTTTTTTTAAAGCAATCTATCTATTTTATTTTGTGTCCTGTCGGTTTAACTTCATTATTTTCCTAAGCAATGTATTAATGGTTATCACAGTCCTAGTTAAGTCCTGTCTGTTCGCATTATTTGTCTCCTTTCTACCATATGTTTTGTTAAGCACCTCCTTGCACATTATTTCAAAGCATCACTTTATCATCTTTGTCGTCTATATCATTTTCTTAATGAATTTTATCCAATTGATTTTCTCTTTGTTTTAATTTCATTCTCCAGTAGGTTCAGGATTATTTGTTTTTCAAAGCACAGTATTTGCATCTACAGTGCAGTCAACCTATTGTAGTCGATATGTATAACCCATATACATGTATGAGCGATATATATAACCGATATATATAACCGATATATATAATCGATATACATAACAGATTTATGTAACCGATATATATAACCAATATATACAACCGATATACATAACAGATATATGTAAGCGATATATATGACCGATATACATGTTCGATGTATATAATCGATATATATAACCGTTATATATAATCGACATATATAATGAATATGAATAACTGATATATATGACTGATATATATAACTGATGTAAATATAATCGATATATAAAACCCATATATCTAGCCGATATATATAGGAAACGAAATCAAATAGTTCATAACACTTATGGTTACATCGTTTGCTATCGTTTATTATGATAAATATTTTTTTTCTTATTAACTATTAAATTCTTCTTAGTATTTATTATTCAACTGGTTTTATTAAAGCTTCAGCAGATTTTATGCTCAGCCAAATTTCTGCACGATATGAATGCAATATAAGTAGGAATTTTAAAAGGGTTTTATACTCGTATAGTTTAATTATTTATTTCTCTTTTAACATGCTTAAAAAGTGGGTGGCATAGTTTCTGTGATATGGGGAGATATATTTCAGATATATATATTATATTCAGCAATAAATGTAATATGTTTTATGCAAGTTGACGAGAAAGTTGAATTTTTTGTTTTAAAAGGATATTATATTAAACAATTTAATTTTATTGATCTTGATGCATTACTTTAATTTAGAAAGTTTAATATATATAGAGGTGATTGACTTGGTAACTAAATTTATAATATTAATTTTCTGAGATAATGCTATTGTATTATTAAAATCATATAAAAGTGATTTCTTCATTAATGAGTTATATTAAGATTTGTGGTGATACACACAATATCTGGTTCAATCATTTATGAAACTATTAAAATAAAGTGATGTAGTCATATTCATAAAATATCATATTTAAGATAATCTAACATGTAATCTTAATTGGTTATATTGCATAAATTAAAAAAGCTGTTTAAAATAAAAATTATTCGAAACTTTAGGTTTCACACTTCATCGGTAATCGTTTTGACTAAATCTCCTTACTAGTTCGAGTTTCGTTTTCATTAAGCGAACTCTTTTTCCTATTAATTATTTCACATGGTCTCTGTTATCATTTTGGATTTGCTTTACTTTCACATTTCATTACTTTCGACTATATAGATTATCAGGGAAACGAAATAATTTTTTTAAGCTTTTAAACAAAAATTATCGACAATTATTGCAATTATTGTAAAAAACTGAGAAAACTGAAAAACTGAAAAACCTCAAAACACAACATATTCCATGCAACATACGCCATGCAACATACGCCATGCAATCAGCAACAATTTGCAGCTTCATTGCTGGCAGTTTAATAGGACAGAAAGAAATTTTTGCTTTTATTTCATTGCAGTTGCATGCAAAATCGCTTCCATCTTCCATCTACCATCCAGCAGATACGAGTACGTGTATCTATGGTCGACCATAAATTAAAATTATTGCATGAGCTCGAATGTGAATACGAATCCGAATGAGAATGCGAGTTCGAACTTCACTTTATGATGTTGTTACAATGGTTGACCGTTAAATATTTATGCTTTATTATGTAGTGTGTTGTTTTATATGAGTTTAGAAAGGTTTACTGTAAAATATACAAAAAAAAATATGTATATAAATAATTTTATTAATATATTGTTCATGAAATGAGGAAATGACTTTAACTTTGTGCACTTTAATTAAAAATTTTTTTTATCTGAATGAATTAAATATATATTCACAAACTACAAATATTGACTAAATGATCCATATCAAATATAAAAAAAAAAAAAATTAATGCTAATATATAATAATTACCTTACTCAGTTTGTTTTGATTTTTTGCAAAATTTTTGAAGCATTTTCTTCATAATTTAATTTTAACGACCATTTGTCCTAAATTTGTTTTCTTTTTTGTGCTACATATCAGCACTTTTCTAGTAGATAACGTAAGGTTCATGGTATGCTATGTATATACCCATATGACAAATGCTCATATAATGTTTGCTCTATTTCTGGTCATGACATGACTACGAAGGCACGTTATGTAGACAGTCAAATTACAATTTTTAATTTCATACTAATTACTGCTACTTTAATACTTTTTGGTTGTATCTTAATTTTAAAGATAATATTTTTAGAAGAACATATATGTATTCACACAAAAATATAATATTTGGTCCAAAAAGGTAATTTGGTATTTATTACTGAGCAACCCTGCTTCGAATAATCTGATGAAGGATATAAGGCTTCCACACCATAACCAGAGGTAAATCAAACAATCTCTCCTATTCTAAGTATTAATTTTCCAATTTGCATTAAAGACTACAATAAATTCACTTTGAAGTGAGTTTGATTGTCTGCATAAAAGCCTAACTATGTAGGGATTAGTCCTTAAGACAAGCAGGAATAATATAAAAATTTTATTGCAAAGTTCAAATCTGCACAGTATTATGATGACAATATTATTCTGTGTTATTTTGTTTTGTTTGAACCGAATGTTCTATTTACAGTAGAACTTAAAAGACAGATAAGTACCTTTGTAGCTTCTTAGGTAGCTCAACTCTTATCAACTCGTACTCAGCTTATATGATGAGTAAGTTGACCTCTACTCACACTAAGAGTTTAGTTTTCAATTAAAATAAGTTCATTAACTATAAAATAGTTAGATAACGTTATATGTCATGACTCAGGTATATATTAAGTTAGATTGAACTGGCTGCCGTAAATATAAATCTAGTAGTCGTTAGCGATAGCAGTGCATATAAACTGTGAAATAGTTAGTCGATAATATTTATTATAAGTTTTATATAGATTAAATTATGTTCAATTGGCATGTAGACCTATAGCTTTATTGCGAAAGCAGACGAAACTGAACTTTCTTATAGGCATTATGAAAGATTTTTGTCTCTTATTATATATTATATTATTTAATCTTTTCATTGGAAACTGACAATGAAATTTCAAATCTTAATACTAAAATTCAAATTAGTGACTAAATAAGAAAGACAATATATTAAGATTGACTTTCTGAGAAAATATGTTTCACACGATATTATATTTTATATATGTAAATATATATGTAAATATTCGATTATATGCAAAATGTTATATAAATACTGGATATTATAGAATAATTACAATTTAAAGAAGTAATGGAAAAATATTTTCCATATTCATTTTAAGCTAAACTTAAGTTTATTATGAGATTACTTAAAATTGAGTTATTATGTATAATGAGAACGGTTTTATGTGAATTTAATAAGTACGTTAAGTCTTATTTCTGAGACGGAACCATCCATCATTTTTAACAATTTTTTGACAACATTGACAACATTTGAGTTTAAACCCTGATGGCTTTGTGAGAGAAGATAAATTTTATGTAAATAAGATACATTATTTGCTATAAAATATATTGTGTTTTTAAGCAAATGATTCATTTCGTGGTATTGATTACAGTAATAGTGTTATTTAGACGTGCTTGGTTACTCGCTAGCTCTGTAAAGATAGTTTCTGTAAAGATATATCGATAAAACAAACCAAAAAACTCACGTTCATTTTATCACTTTACCGAACACCGAGTTACCAAGTTACCGAGCATGGTCTGAAGAGTTCTATTATAAAATAATTAAAGTTAATATAAGCAAAATAAATTATTGTAATTTCTGATTAAACGCAAAATAAGAATTGATTTTAATATTTAATATAATTTTATTAATTTTTATTATTTTAGTGTAGTTGTGAGTTCACTTTTTCAAATGACTTTGTTTTTCTAAAAGGCTCAATAAAAATTAATAAACGGTCTTTTATTTTTTTTAAAATATAGTTCTCTAATTTTAGTTTCTATAATCCTCTATATTATTTTTAATAAAGTATTAATTTTTTTTTTATTATTTCAATTTCAGAAAATAGCACATTGAAGAATATTTTCAATATACACATGTTAACCAAAAGGTAATTATTCTGTCCAATTTATTTGTTTATATAAAATATTTAATTTTGTTTTCTTAAAAAGTATCTAAAATAGATTTAATTCAATGCTAAATGCTAAATCCTAAATGACAAATTCAAGTTTAACAATTAAATTAGAAAAATTTGCAGTGAAACTCCATATCCACACACATTTTAAGCGAATCGAGTACATAAATTACTGAACCAGTTTAGATAAAATTGTTAATAAAAAACCTAAACGTATATAAGAACTTAGTATTAAATGATTTATAACAAAATAACGTGTTTCGCTATAAAAAGCGACTAAAATATATATATCAATTAAAGAATTCAAGATCAGTTGAAGAAAACAAGTTGCCGGCCGGCACTTTCCGCATAAAGTCCGAGTCTGAAAATCTCAACGTTTGCAAAGATACAAACTCGTATATAAGCGCAAAACATTTCTAAAGCTCTATTTAAACAAGTCGTTGTATGGAAGGTGGGAGCGTACAATGCCAGTCTCCATAATTGCATTAGTTTCGATTTGGTAAAAGCCGTTCGTTTACTTGTTACCCAAACGGCTTGTTTTTATAGCTACGACCACTTCATACCCATCTTCTTGGGCAAGCCATCTAAAGTGGCTCGCCCGGCTGTTTAGCTGATTTTTATCTCTGCTTAAAATGATAGGCGCTACTTTGGCTCATGATTCGAGTAATTTGGATAACACTGATTGTGTGCACCGATGCGAGTATGTGCAGTACAATTGGAAGAAACACTTTTAGTTTATTTATGAGTACATAAATTCGAGCATTTCTGTCCAATAATTGGTAGCCAAGCTATTTTCAAAAAAAAAAAAAATGCACAACTGTTTAGTCAGTTTGAATGATCGCGTCGATCTTGTCGATCTTGCCGATCATACGATATTTTATTGCTTTTTTCTTTGTGCCAACTCGTGTTTACGCTTAACCTTAGGCTAATTTGTTTATATAAAAAATTGTTGTCTGTCTGGTTGGCGGTGAATTTGCTGATTGTATAAGTTTGCGTGTGGCATTTATCCGCTGCCTCATACACGTGCTTACAAGTGCTTACAAGTACCGTCCTTCCACTTTTACTAGCCGCGCTGATCACTTGCAATCCCATTTTGCCTTTAGCCTAAGCCTGAGTTAAGTAACTAAAGAGTTGAACTAATGTAAATGTTTAGTCGTTCATTCATTCGTTTGTTGTTGCTGTATTTAAACTTAAGTGTAATTCTTCCACTGTGTCAAAGTCAAAAAAAAAAAAAGATACAAATTGAAAGCAATAAAGTAGTCTGCAGACTCTTTCTTTAGCAGACTTCAAAATTAAATAGCTTGTATTCGCAGTTATAGAAATTTTTTTTTAGTAACAAAAGCAATGAAATGAAATGAAATAAAGTGTCATGCAAAGTTTCGTAGATCATCTGCGAAGCTCCGGGTATAACTCAAAGTGTTTATAAAAAAATTCACACAGCTGCTTATAATTTGTATCTCAAAATAATTAAATTTTTTTCTTTTTGAAAGTAAATGAATTGCAAAATTATCTTGCATGCAACATATTTTGCAAATTTTAATAAACCCGTATAACATGAATATATTCTCAACATAAAGTTCTGACTCAGTCAGAAACTAACATCAGTAACACTAAACTACGGAAATCTACGGATAAGTAAAGAGTTAAATACGATAATATTATGAATCAACAAAGAAACATTTAATTAGATTTAATTATATATACATATTCACTATTTTCATATATATTATATACAGAATGTTGTTCCTTTTGGGGGACTAAAAAATATTTGAAAATCACGTCAACTTAAGATAAGAACCAAGTTATTGTCTAAATGTTAAAGCATTTCCTAAAATCAAATACCTATAATATTATATTTATAAAAAACCGCACTTCCTGTGCATACCTATTACTCAGAAAATTCGGAAAGTTGTTGTCAGCACAATTAAGATACGCAACGGAAATTAGATTTAGCAAGCTTTGCTAGTTGCCTGGATACATTGAAATCAAAGGCCATGAGTTCGCAAGCAACTACAGGATCAGCATTACAATTCTATGAACCAAAGCGTTATTGTGGAAAAAATAAATCTCTGATTGAAAATCAAATTATAATCAATAGAATAAGTACTGACACGACTCTCTGATAACCGTCACGTTCAATAGCAGGCTCATTATTATAATTGCGGTAAAGCATACCTCTTCAGTAAAACAGTGTTGAGGTTGTTGGTACGTTTCTAAATCACATCACGACCCCCGTTAGCATTTCAACAGAACTTGTCTACAATTTTATATATTTCTTCTTTGGTTTGCAACTTAGAGCAGTTTCTATTCAACAAACTTTATCATTTTTCCACTGATTTTTCATTTTCCGCATATCATTAATTAAGTTTCTAAAGTTAAATTTAGTTTTATTCTACTGTTAAATCATTACCCCCACTTAATTCAGTTCCTAACGTAATGTCTAATTTTTTGCCAATTTTTTTCACATTTTAAAATGATTAATTTATCCACTAAAAAGGACAGAAGCAATTATTTAATATACTTACATAAAAATATTTAAATTTGCAAGCAAGCGAATAAGTTTTGAATAAGTGAATGCTTGCGTCTAAACGATTTTCCTTCGTTTTGTTAAATCAATGACTAGATTAAATCAAATAAAATTAATTAATATTAATATTATATAAATGGGTTTGGAAACTGCAGATTCAATATTATTAATGAATCATTATTTTAGTATAGTTGTTAAAAAAACAACTAAACGAAAAAGAAATTTTTCGATCGGTACATGAGTAATTATAAAGCAAGTTAAAATGCTAGTCTTACATATAACTCTTCTAAGAATTTGTTCGATATTCATATTTTATAGAAATATTTTCATTAGTAAAAATAATACAGTTAAAGTAACTGTGTAGTCGCAAAAGATTGATTTATAAAATAAAATATTATATCACCAGCTTTATTTTATACCACGACTACAAAATTTCAACCAATGATACATGACATAAAATCACTGAAAATATTATAGCTCAACCACAGATTTGTATAAATTACAATCATTTTTATCTGCATATATTTATATATATTTTTTTATATTTTTTTTTCTTTAAATGGTGTCTAGTTCAAGTTCGTTTTCAGCTAATTTTTTGTAGGGTACTCAATAATTGCGCTTATAATTAGCTTTCCTAGTTAAAAATATAAGATTGAGTGAGGGAATTCTCAATTTATTTTAGTTAGCAAACACAGACGATTATGAATGAATTCATATATAATTAAAATATATATACTTGTACTTACAGATATATGTGTATCCGCTTGTTTCCATGTCAGTTATTAATGAGTTGTTTGAACAACTTAAGTGTTTATTTTCAAATAAAACACTTACACTGATTAGTATGGGTAGATTTATAAACTAGTTAAGATGCATTAGTCATTTTTTAATGCAAAAATTAACATATTATAAAAAAAAGATATACCATATTTACATATTAAGGTAGATTTTCTTGAAGCAGCAAAATCGAAAACAAAAAATATTAATATCATATATTGAAGAAAAATATAAATATAAATATATTTTATAGACAATTTCTTCAGACATTTTATATAAAAAACAAATAAAATTAAATTATTTAAAAAATTTTAAATAATTTAAAATTTAGCAAATTTTTTGACACCTACATTGTGTGATTTCCGCTCGCAAAGTTTTATTGTTTAAAATTTGATATATAAAAATATTTTATATATGAAAAACCTCTTTATATATGAATTTTGTTTATATATATTTCTATAATATATATTGAAAATAAAATCCGAATTAATATTTTAATTTAACTTAAATAGACACAAGACAATCGTTAACTTAATTATATTGTCAATATACGAGTACATCATGCGAGATTTATGGTTTATTCAAAATAAATGTGTGAACTTAAATGCTTTCTGGGAAATCTGCTGAGATGAAATTATTTTTAAATGAAAAGAAACATTTAAGCAAGTTCATTTGACATTTATTAATAGTTTTAGAATTTTACTAATTTAAATTTAATATATTTGAAATTTTTAGATTTGATTTTTTCTGGTGATATTTTTCTAGATATACAGGCGATCTGGAATACATGCCAAACATTCTGTTCTTATAATAACTAATAATAATAAAAATTATTATAAAATAATTTTTAAATTATTATAAAATAATATTCAAATAATTATAATAAATTTAATATATCTTAAATATATTTGTGATCAGTGCAAGACAAAGTTCCAGGAAGTAAATAATAACTAAGAAAAATAAAAAAATAATTATAATTAATAATAAAAAAAATTATAAAATAATAATTAAATAATAATAATAATGAAAGTAATTGAGAGCATTTTGTCATTGAACAAAAATTTGTCGAGACAACTACCCATTGAACTATAGTATCACTATAATATCCTTAGTATTAAGGCTTTATATCGGCAAAGCTTCTTTTGATATACGTTTTCGGGTATATTGAAGTATAAGCATTCCTCTTTTTTTTCGTAAACTTATTTTTTTAAAGTCGGGTTCAATCGCATCATCATATACGAGATATTTATATCTTATACTGAAACAGCTGCTGTGTAACTGCTCGGCGCTCTTGAGAACTCGACAAAAATACTTGGGGGCTGTCAGTTTTCAGAACTGGAGTACATGCCTGAGGTTGCTGTTGAAGTGTTAATAGAATCCGTTAATAACAAGCGCATCCTGAGTGATCTATACTATCGTTACAAATAAGACTCCGATCTGGTATTGCAATAAACCTTAATGGTCCACGCGTGACCATTTTGGTCTGCTAGCATAATCTAATCTATATCTTATACTATGTTCGCACTTAGACTTATCGAATAACACAATGCGCCTCTAGACTTAAGTGGATCCACTAGGGATCACCGGTATTAACTAGACTTATTGAAACTGTTTGGCATACTTTTATAAGGATTGCTGCATGATTTGTTGTGTTGAGTACATTAGTCTAAAC